ACAGCGGCGCGAAGAGTTTGTGCGTTATTATTATAAGTAGACATGTCCCATGTGCATGTAATTTCACCGACGACAGACAGTCGTGCAGTTTCAAGTGTCGTGGTTTGCATATTTAAATGGAGTTGTTCACGTAGTTGATCCTGACTCAAAATCACCCCATTTACGCAGTCTTCATCCTGTTCTCAAAAGACCAGTGCCTTGGGTGAGCTACCCCAGGTGCATAGTACCCTACCCCATTTTCCAGGTAAGCACCGGAGCCTTTGACTTTAGCGTCCACTACTAAATCTCCACTTAGGTGGAAGAGCTGTCTGCCGTCACGCTCACCACCCGACCGTGTTCCGAACAGTGGCGTAGTATCGATTTTTGCCGCTCGGGCCAACCTTAAATTTGCTGCCTCCTCTATTTTCACGATTATAATAGTACGTTTGGCCAGGTTCGGCTCGATTGTGTTTTTTTTGTTCGCCTGCCGTTGTGACCGCCAGGATGGCTGGTCGCCTGTGGCGTCTGGCACCGAGTGTATATTCAACGATTCCTACGTATTTGCTACCTTTTCTAAATATTTGCTACCTTTGATATATTCTGAGAAATTTAAAAAAATAATTGACCAGCCATTCTGATATCAGGATGGCTGGTCGCCACTTTGTTCAGCATGAAGGGACAGATTTTCCAGAAGTGTACCAATGATTGCTACATATTTGCTACTCTCACGAATTAAAGGTATACGCTTCTTATCTACATTAATAAAAAAAACAAAACCGATGGAAAATTTTACTTTTATTCTTGTTCATGATATCGTTTTCTCAAACATTGGAATTTATTTTCCAATCTTAAGCAAAAAAAAATTTTCACTTTAGGGCCACAGTAACCACAGTAGCTGCCGCCCCATTGCGTTGCCGTCCGGGACCATGGCCCCCTGTGCACCCCCCACGCTACATCACTGCTCTCGACGCCGAAACGTCTCTCCAGTTCCCAAAGACCTACGGGCCTGAAGGACTAAAAAGATTTAATAATGTAACTAATAAAATTTTTGAGTAGGTAGTTTTATATTCAGACACTTTTAAATGCATCAGTTAGTTAGAAATTACTTATTTGACAATAATTGTTTCGGACGGATGACAGACGGAGAACGAGAGTAGACCCCCTGGGGGTAGATTCAGAACTTTACGATAACTCCGTTGTGGACCGAATTCTTTTTTTCATTTTTATTCACAACTGTACTAAGTACATTTTTATTAGTTAGAACTATATTCCTTATTTTAAACCAAATTACTAAAGCCTATATCCTAAAAATTCCACCAATTACGGGTTCAAAGTTTTTGTTCAAAGTGACAATAATGTGATACAGGTGCAAGTGAAAACATAAATATTGACTCCCGCCGCTTAAGAGACTATTTTAGAAATCAAACAAGAAACCTAAGTTATTTATGAGAAGTGAAAACAATGTAGAACCACAATGGAAAATATTTATTCAGGATCCCGATAATTAAACGAAGTCATGGCTCAAAGTACTTGTATCCAAGCCAAAACCCTAACTAAAAATGACAGTCAGGCAGTGTGGCCAACGTAGGCGATTTATTTCTATTTAGGCTACTCCGGACGAAAATCAGCGACGAAAAAAATGGAAAAGGCGATTGGCCGCCTATTAGGCTAGTTTCAGTTTACAATCTTAAAAATAAAAAATAAGCGTACATTAAAGAAAAGATAAGCTCCCCATGAAACTATAAAAAGTCTGTGATATTAGTCAAAGAAAAATTGTTTATGGTTGGCCAGTTTCGGCGGGAATATCCCAGAATAATATAATATATTTATTTTTAATCTATTTAGGTTTCAGTTTTCATTTTATGAAATTATTGATTTAAACTACAATTTTACTTCATTTATTGCTGTTTTTCATTTGGTGTTTAGGCTACTCTAGGCTACACTTAAAATTTGGCTACATTAGGTTACTAAGCAAATGAAACTATTTTTCCGGATTTAAATCGCGTATATTTGTTTTTTTCAAACAAACCGAGACGTTTCGGACCCTTTACAGGTCCCACGGTTGACAGATGACATAGGACCTGTGAAGGGCCCGAAACGTCGGTTTGTTTGAAAAAACAAATATACGCGATTAAAATCCGGAAAAATAGCTTCATTTCCTATGTGTAACAATCGCGAAAACTTAAGAACTCGATGGGCTACTAAGGTTGTGAAAAATGGCGACATTGGACCCAGCGTTGTTGGCAACACTGCAGTCTGGCTCACGCAGGGTTACCAGACGTACGAGATTTCTCGTACGTTTACGAGATGGTGTTCTCTGTACGAGATACGAGCCAACTCCGAACCTCGTACGCATTTGTACGAGATTTTCACAATATTGATTGTAACATTGTGTCCAAACCAAATATAAAAAAAGGTTTTTTTTAAATTGCATCCTACATCGCATTCTAGGGGGAAACCCCGTTTTGAAGCATGCTGTTATTATTGCACCAATGAATATTTAAACGGGTTTTTAGTGTGTCATATATTTTCAAATAAGAGTTAATTTGCATAATGAGCAGTGACAGTGAATCTTCATCCACTCCTCCAAGAAAAATATCCAAAATGGGAGGATGGACTGCAAAGAAAGCAGGGGGTCTACTCTCGTTCTCCGTCTGACGCCCGTCCGAAAAAATCCCGCATCATGCGTCTTTTAATTTGGTCGAGTATTACTTATTTGACAATTATTTTTATTCGGACGGATGTCAGACGGAGGATGAGAGTAGACCCCCAGGTGATACAATATCTCAACATCGTACGCTAGCTTTTCGGGATGACTGAACATAAGTTTTTAGTAAACTATATTATACGGATAATATAGTTTACTAAAAACTTATGTTTTTGTACGACGATGTTTTTTTTGTTTTTTTTTTCCCTTGCAATTAATTATACGATTTAATTAACTCATGCGAGATTTTTTTGTCAACGTGCGAGATATTTGACAATCTAGGTACGAGAGAAAATTTTCTTAATCTGGCAACTCTGGGCACAAGCCAAATAGTTTGTGCCAGTTGTGCAGCCAAGTGTGAATCTGTGCAAGTGTGAGCGAGTCTTGAGTAAATAACCGTCAGGAAATAATAAATAAATTAGGCGAAATTCGTCGCCATTCGCCAAGATTTTTCAATTAGTTTTACAGTACTGACACTGCTTGCTCTGCCGAATCTTAGAAAGGCACCACCCCAATGAGTAAATAGAAGATGAATTTTATTTTAATTATCTACAACAGCCAACAATGTCGCACACGGACCTAAAAGATGCTAAGAACGTTAAGGAGGAGGCAAGCGAATTAGAAAGGAAATACATCAAACAAGAGCCAGTGGGTGTTGCGGAAGACGAACAAAAGAAGAAAGAAGAGCTGGATCTGTACGCCGATCATGAAATCAAGGAAGAGTTGGTCATAGGACCTGTGGTGTTGCAGCATACTGATTTAGCTCAAGCAAGATGTGTGCAAAACACATCTGATGGAGTGAATGTTGATACTCGACCATACAAGTGTGATATTTGCAGCAAATGCTATAAAAAGAAACAGAATTTGAAGTTACATAAACTAACCCATACTACAGAGAAGCCGTTTAAATGTGAACATTGTAATGAATCGTTTATGACTAAATCAAGTTGTAATAAACATTTAATTACTCATACTGGAGAGAGACCATACAAATGTGATCTCTGTAACAAATGTTTTACCTATAAATCTAATTGTCTTCAACATTTAAAGACTCACACGAGAGAGAAACCGTACAAATGTGACATTTGCCATAAACGTTTTACTAGAAATAGGCACCTTCAGCAACATATAATGATCCATACTGGGGAAAAACCATACAAATGTGATCACTGTAACAAAGGATTTGCCTGTAAATCAAGTTTTGTTTTACATTTAAAGACTCTTACTGGGGAAAAACCGTACAAGTGTGATATATGCAATAATTGTTTTACAAGGAAACTGACACTTAAAACTCATAAAATGATCCATTCCGGTGAAGAACTATACAAATGTGATCACTGTAACAAACTTTTTGCCTATAAATCAAGTTTTGTTACACATTTAAAGATTCATACTTCAGAAAACCTATTTAAGTGTGATATATGCAATAAATGTTTTGCTACAAAACTAACACTAGAAACTCATAAAATGTCCCATTCTGGTGAAGAACCATACAAATGTGATCACTGTAACAAACGTTTTGCCTGTAAATCAAGTTTTGTTAAACATTTAAAGTTTCATCCTAGAGAAAAACCATACAAGTGTGATATATGCAATAAATGTTTTACAAGAAATAGGAATCTCAAGCGTCATGTAATGCTCCATACTGGGGAAAAAACCATACAAATGTGAACAGAGTATTTGGCAGTAAAGCAAGTTCATTGTAATAATTTAAAGACTCATACTGGAGAGAAATCACAGGAGTGTGATATCTGCAATAAATTTTATAACAAAAAAAAAATCACCTTAAATGTCTTGCAATTGCCCACACTAATCCAAAACCATACAAGTGTGGCCATTGTGGCAAAGATTTTTCTCATAAATCTGCTTGATACACATTTAAGGACTCATCCTGGAGAGAAACGATACATGTGCGGTATATTTTTTTTATTTGACTAAAAAGAAGAATTGACAATCTATGAAACTTGGGGATAAGGCCAACACTGATGTAACTAGGGACAGTGTTTAGGTCTCGATATAGGGATTATGTTTTCAATTATAATACTGTCAATTTTGCTCATGGGTTTGCTTGTCTTTCAAATAGAGTTGCATAAAACCCAAAAACTACTACTTATGTGAATCGTTTCATTGTGAAAAGAACATTTTGCTAACATTTCGCACAATACTTGTCATTACTCAAAATTGTACAATTTAGAAACCGTGATTTGAAAATCAAAAACAATACAGATTGGATATTATTGCTAATAATGTGATTATTTATAATTATACCTAATATTCAGGCAACTATTTATAAATGAGATATTTATTGGTTTCGTTCAATGGTTTTTTTAACTTTCAAATCGTGTCTAACTGTTCCTGTTATGGCCCCATCGAAATTTTAATTCAAGTCTTGTCTTTTTTGAAGATGGAGTAAAATGACATTTGCAGAGTTGCCAGTTTTCGTAAAATTTTAAATAGTCTTAATCGTGAATGTTACAATGTTCCAATGATTACCAATTGCGTAATTGTATTCTTTATTCTTAATTTGATTTTTTTATTTCATAAGCGTAACCAACAAAAAGTTGACAGTCGATGTAATATTTATACTCTAGGTACTGCAATCACTAGCTGGCAACACTTTTGTGCAATACTCCATCTTCAAAAAAAAACAAAGGAATGTTTTATTGTATCCCCTCTTTGCTATATTGCTTTTTTCTCTGAAACTATCAACTTTTCAAGAAATTATACAACAATAAAAGTTGTTAGAAATGTTGTTTTCACATAAAAAAGAAATAGCTTGGTACTCCACAAGTTATTCCTATGTCCAAGAATTATCAATTATTATTTAATCATGGGAACAATTTTAGGAATACAGAGCTGATTTTTGTCATATGATAATTATTATTATTATACATTCCCGATAACTTTTATTCTTATGTAATTTCTTGAAAAGCTGATTGTTTCAGAGAAAAAACTTTTTAGTTTTTTTTTTGTTTGAAGAAATAAACATTTTATTTTTTATCTCGAATTGTAGGAAAATGTAATGTGTGTGGTTTATTTACAATATAGGTCCAATCATTCTCTATCAAGAAAAAAAAAATCCAACTGCATGTACTTGCGGCTTTACGAGTAAACAGGTGTCAAAATTTTAGATTTATTATTTATTTTTTAACACAATATACTAGTTTCTACTCAACTTTCGTGTTATTGTTATAACACTCTCTAAATTACACTATAATTAATTTTTCTTTAGTTTAGCTCATGAATTTTGTTAAAAAAGTACATAAAAGATTATTTATTCTTTTATTATTCTTGAATAATTTCTTGAAAAGTTGATAGTTTCGGAGAAAAAAATATTTTTTTTTTGTTTCGACAAATATACATTTTATTTTTTATCTCAAAATATACGAAAATGTAATGTGCGTGGTTTACTTACAGCATAGTTCCAATAATTTTCTATGTAGAAAATATAATACTTGCGGCTTTGTAAGTAAAGGTGCGGCAAAATTGCAAATTCTTTCATGTACTTAGGAAATGAAACTATTTATCCAGATTTAAATCGCGTATATTTGTTTTTTCAAACAAACCAACGTTTCGGGCCCTTTACAGATCACACGGTTTACACGGTTGACAGAGGTGGTAAAGACAACCAGTTATGTCTAATATTAATGCAAACCACCCCATTTTTTCACTATATATACAAAAGTTATTAATTAATAATTTTAATTTTACAAAGAACATTCCAATTTACGCTACATATGTTTTACGAATTATTTTAACAATATGAATTTTTATTAAGTTAAATTTGTTAATAATTAATAATGGAAATTACAATAAATTAAATCATATTGTACTGCAGTCTTATTTCACTTTGGGATTTTTCATCAGAGGAATTACTGAATCCCAAACTGGGGCCTGTTTCACAAACCTAAAATTTTACTAGTTTACTAGCTACTAGTCACCAGTACTAATAAATACTGTTTCACAAATAAAAATATTATGCCTGTAGTTAACAGCCATAGAGTGGTAAATAATATTAGTTTAAATTAATTGTGTAGTAGTACATCTTAATTCCATAGCTCATGCGAAAGGTGTTAAAAAATTGGCGAGAACAATTTCCTGTTCAAATAACTAAATAATAATATTCGAAACTAAAAGGAATCTTAAAATTGATATTTAAAATGTCGTTACGAGAGCCATACAGACTCAGGTTATAATTGTTTGACCCATAGATTTATTATATAATGGTTTGACCAATGTCGAGCAGCCATCTACGTAGCTATATTTTCGGGGCCAATCGCGCTAATTGTCAAAGGTTTAACCAAAACCTCCAACCTCGCCAATCTGACACGTTGTGTACATTTCGTATCGCGCTAACTGTCAAAACAAAAACCTAAGCCAAAACTTAGACGTGTGACACGTAACGCACATTTGGTATCGCGCTAATTGTCAAACGTAAAACCAAAACCTAAAATGTTGCAAATTGGTATCGCGCTAAATATTTTGACATTTTAACCTCACATGTAACCTTGGGGGAATAGATTAACCTTTGCAAGGTCAAGGTTTGTGTGGCAGTTAATGGAGAGTAACTTTTCACTACGTTTATCGTATATAAAAGATGTTCCACGGTTACTTAAATGTTTTGGAAAGTGTTTATGAGGTGGATGTGGCCTAAGAACGGGCTTTAAATAAAAGAAAAGCATAGAAAGACGATCACATTTAACATGTCTGAGGAGAAATTCCGCAAACGATATACCGTTTGTCCACGGAATTCATTTCAGGATTGGTGGAAGAACTATGCCTACATATTCTCGTTAAAGGACGGTCTGTTGCATTGGATGTGGAGACAAAGGTAAGGGTTGAGTGGAATCCGAAAGTTCTCAGTTTTGCATAATAACCAAAATTTCTATACTGTGTAAATCATTATTTATTTTGTTACAGATTTTAATAGCTCGTATAGTTTTTAACAACTGGGGCGTACCAGACCCCCATTGGCAAGTGCTTATCACCCTTTCCCAAGTCAGTGTCAGAGAGGCACAAGCGGTAGCTGCTTCAAATAAACCAGTTATTATGAATAAATATGCAGCTTTCCTAAAAGGCATGCCGAAAGAGATGGTATTAAAAGGCGGTGACAAAATAAGCTTTACAATGTACATCATATTTATTAGTTCTTGTCTTATTTCCTGTTGTTATTATCAAATTAAAATTACAGGTATAGGTAAAATATGTATAGTTGTATAAAAATATATTACAAGGTTACAATTTATCTCTTTTAACACTTTTTACAACATATCGTCCCCTTACAGTGAAGCCTCACATATGCATTTTCAGTTTGTTTTTACTGATTTTTGTTGAATAAAAATTAATAATGTAATAATATAGTATCTAAAAGAGGTATAATTTAAGTAATTAAAATGCTAACTACACACATTATTGCATTTACTATACTTCACACCATATTTTTATCTTCATCCTAAAAAATTACATAGAAATATGAGGTATTCATTCTAAGATGACGATGTATACCTATTGTAATTGTTTATTATCTTAATATCTAAATTGATGTATACTTTTAAGAGGTTGAAATAAAAAAAAGAGTGTATTTTTAGTTTATTTATTGCCTCAATCTACCCCAAATCATCCTTCATTTCCGGAGCGAGCTTGCTTTTGATTCTTCAAAGAAGTCTGAAACAAAAATATGTATATAGGAAGATTGGAGACCTAAATTTAAGACTGTGCCATACCTCTCATGAGAGTAGTGACAGATAAAGCAGGATGGGTATTTATATACATACAGTATGAAGCCAACATAAACGCCAGAATGTTTAGGGGCCTTTTCAAAATACATTTAAAAAAATGTTTATATCACTGTGGAAATATAAAGGGGACAAAAGTCTACAGATTAGACCTTCGTTCCTTACGCTCTTTCAGATTTCCACAATTGAACATATCATCAGCAGGAATTAAGAAAACATGTTGAAAACAAACCTGTCATTCTTGTTAAATAGTCTATCAAAAAGGTTAACTGCAGGCACCAACTCGGTAATTGCTTTGCAAATGGCAGCTACGGATTGGGCATGCAGATCATCTGCTTTGGCAGAAATAATAGCTGCCTCAGCCTGCACCCTGCCAGCATTCACTTGCTGCAAGAATGCTTCGCATGCTCGCTGCTCCTCAATGCATAAGAATTCTACCCGGCTCTGCTCCAACGCTCATCAGCTCGCTGTCAACGAAATAATAGATGTGATGGAATAAAGAGTGGGAAAGAATTTGCTCAAATTGAAAGTTACTTTGTTTTTTAATTAATAATAAAGAGTGAGAAAGTTACTTTGTTATTGAATTGTATGTTTGAAGTTATTTTGTGCTAGAGTTGGTGTCCTTTAGGAAGGTTGGTAGGGCCTCTGCCGCAGTCGATGTGGCGTAGATTCTCACCCTGCTTTTCATACCATTCCATACCTGAATAACAATAATAACATCGCATATTATAGTGATATGAGTTCTGGTACAATAACGGTGAGTGATCCACTCACTGTATCCTATTACCTCGCATTATAGCTCACCTTTTGGGATCTATTGCGGGGCCACAAAATAGCCACACACTCGCACCAAAGGCGTGCTGATAACACGCGCGAACAACGCCGAGCGAAGTCATTCTCAAGCCAAATCTCTGTGCGATTCGAACTCCAGCAAAGATGGAGCTGGCTTACAGTGGTCGCTCGCCGTCCGACCGCATCCACACTGGCTGAAATACGAGCATCATTATTAATTCTACATTGCTAACATTTCGAAATTAATAGTAGTTAGCGTACCTATTTGATTGTATAAAAAGATACTATTTTATTAAATAGAATATTAAAAAAGGAAAACAATGTGTAGGTACTTGCCTCTGCGTGTTTTATCTACAACAACAACACACTAAATTCAATTAATTTGGTTCAAATCACAACACATATGTTTGTTTACAATAGAATTTAATGACATTTCTTTTACACACTTTTTTAAATCGCTCTTTTATAGACTTGAATTCGTAGATATTGACATTTCAGTGCGTTTTACGGTAAAATTTAGTCGGTTTTAGGAAGTCAAGGCACGTCTCTTAAAATTTAATACGAGGTTATAGTTTGAGGTTAATTTGAGGTTTAGGTTCATTAAAACTGATAGCGCGATTGCATTTTGTGCGTCGGTAGAACCATTAATTAACCAAAACCATAACCTCAAATGTTGTAAGGTTAAACCTTGCGAAAATAGCGCGATTGGCCCCCTGGTCGCAAGCGTTGTAAGGGCGGGAAAAAGAGCGGAACTTTATAGTTTTCGGCATAATAAAAATTTTGTGAAGAACATTGTACGTATTAATAATTAATTACAGTTAATAATCAATAACTACTCCGTTAAAGTAAATTAATATTGATTAATTGTAAAGATCTTAAGGGCCCTGTCACTGTGCACGTCACCCTGCTACATAAGTTGACAAGTCCCATGTGCCTGTAATTTCACCAGCACCCTTACCCTTCAAAACCGTAACGTAGATAAATTAAATTAGAAAAATTAAGATAAATTAAGTAGAAAAACTAAATTACTGCTTGGCGGCAGAAATGGTTAAGTTGGCAGTACTTCCCAGGACGAGCTTTTTCAAAAGGAGCTCTACTGCTACTATCTTTTTATATCTGTCGAGCGTTTAAAAAAAGGCGGGAGAAACAAACGCACTAAAGAAACACAAAGGACCACGGCGGTAAAAATATAAAAAAAATATTTAAAAAATGCTGCTTTATGGGTTATATTAAAAGATATATCGATTTTATTTCGTAGTTTCGAGATGGAAATACTCGACGACATCGTATTATTCCAAATTCTTCCTCACTTTCCGAACATGACGACATCTTTTTCCAAGTGACGCCACTGAAAAAATTACATTTCGTATAAGTTTACAATACGCCTTCGATTGGTAGAAATAACCTTGTAATATATCAGTATATTCGACTAGTAGTGTTTTTCATGCAACAGAACAGTTTACAATGGTAATAAATGACTAGTACATATTACCTTGCAACATTAACTAATAATGTTTCATCGTAACTTCGTGAAACGGACGTTAGTCGATTAGTGCAAAATAATAGACCATGGGTTAATAAGACTAGACTGATAAGTTTCCTGCTGGTACGGAGAAACCATCTTTCCTGTTGAAATTAAGATGTTTTTTTTTAATTTTAACGGCCTCTCGTAGCGTCCTATGTAGATAACGGACTTCATTTGCAAGGACCTGGGGTTTGACAAACTTGATTGAAAAGAGTGTAGGTTTATCCATGACATGCTCGCGGGCTGCAAACTTGTTTACGCAACCGTGTTTGACATCAGCTATGTTCTTTGACTCGGTTACAAAGACTACGCTTCATTTGTCCAATATGAGAGAACAAGAGAGGCGGTCTCTCACACTCACTCACAGTCAAGCTTGTAAACTCCTGCACCCTGTAAGGAGATCTTACATTTAATATATCTCAGAAACTGAGAAATCTTCCTCAGGGGCTTGAAATAGGTCTTGATAGACGCACGCCTGAGGACTTCCGATCTTGTCTGTAAGTGACCGTCAGGATAGCTGGTCGACTGTGGCGTCTGGCACTGAGTGTACATTCAAGAGTTGCTACCTTTTCTAAATAATTGCTACCTAGAATATATCAATATATTCTGAGAATTTAAAAAATAATTGAGTAGCCATTCTGATATCAGGATGGCTGGTCGCGACTTTGTACGGCATGAAGGGTGCAGATTTTCCAAAAGTATGTATTACCAATAATTGCTACCTATATGCTACTTTCACGAATTAAAGGCATACGCTTCTTATCTACGTTAGTCAAAAAAATATAACCGATCGAAAATTTTAAGAAGTGCCTGATTAAATTAAAAAAGCAAAAGTTTTTAGTGCTTTATTGCCATAATATAAAGGGCAGGCGTTGAGGGTGTAATGTCAATAACGTGTTTTATCGCATAATAATTGATTGCATATACAGTGCGGATGAGAGAACACTGCACAGAATCACATGCCCGATCATACAAGTTCTTCCCCTTGAGATGCCTATTTCTTGTAAAACATTTATTGCAATATCACACTTGTACGGTTTCTCTCCAGTATGAGTCTTTAAATGATCACAATGACTTTACTGCCAAATGCTCTGTCACAGTATTCACATTTGTATGATTTTTACAACAGTATGGACCATTACATGACGCTTTAGATTCTTATTTCTTGTAAAACATTTATTGCATGTATTACACTTGTACGATTTTTCTCCTGTGTGAGTCTTTAAATATGTAACAAAACTTGATTTACAGGCAAAACATTTCTTACAGTGATAACATTGTATGATTCTTCACCAGAATGTACCATTTTATGAGTTTCAAGTGTCAGTTTTCTTGTAAAACATTTATTGCATATATCACATTTGAACGGTTTTTCTCATGTATGAGCCTTTAAATGTGTAACATAACTTGATTTATAAGCAAAAAGTTTGTTACAGTAGTCACATTTGTACAGTTCTTCACCAGAATGGATCATTTTATGAGTTTTAAGTGTCAGTTTTCTTGTAAAACATTTATTGCATATATCGCACTTGAACGATTTGTCCCCAGTATGAGTCCTTAAATGTAAAACAAAACTTGATTTACAGGCAAAACCTTTCTTACAGTGATCACATTTGTATGGTTTTTCCCCAGTATGAATCATTATATGTTGCTGGAGATGACTATTTCTTGTAAAACGTTTATGGCAAATATCACACTTGTACGGTTTCTCTCTAGTATGAGTCTTTAAATGCTGAATACAATTTCATTCATAAGTAAAAAATTTGTTACAGTGATCACATTTGTATGGTCTCTCTCCAGTATTAGTAATTAAATGTTTATTACAACTTGCTTTAGACTTAAAAGATTCATTACATTGTTCACATTTGAATGGCTTCTCTTTAGTATGAGTTATTTTATGAAACGTAAAACTGCAAATATCACACTTGGATGGACAAGTATCTACATTCACCCCATTAGGTGTATTCTGCACACATCTTGCTTGACCTATACCAGTAGGCTGCAACACTACAGGTCCTATGACCAACTCATCTTTGATTTCATGACCAGCATACAGATCCAGCTCCTTCTTAATGTGTTCTTGCCCATCACCAACTTGCATAGATTTTGCTTGAGCAACAGCAGGAGGCTGCAATACCATTGGGCCTACAACCATCTCTCTCATCTCTTCACCAGAATGAGTCATTTTATGAGTTTTAAGAGTCAGTTTTCTTGTAAAACATGTATTGTAAGGTCTTTCTCCAGTATGAGTCTTTAAATGTTTAACAATACATGATTTATAGGCAAAACATTTGTTACAGTGGTCACATTTGTATGGTTTTTCGCCAGTGTGGGTCATAATATGAAATTTAAGCGTCCGATTTGTTGTAAAACATTTACTGCATGAATCACACTTGTACGGTTTTTCTCCAGTATGAGATCGAAAATGTATAGCAAAGCTTGATTTATAGGCAAAATATTTGTTACAGTAATCACATTTGTACTGTTTTTCCCCAGTATGAGTCCTTAAATGTCTATTAATGTGTGATTTGTAGGCAAAAAGTTTGTTACAGTGATCACATTTGTATGATTTTTCCTCAGTATGGAGCATTACATGACGCTGGAAATGCCTGTTTCTTGCAAAACTTTTATTGCATATATCACACTTATATGGTTTTTCCCCAATATGAGTCTTCAAATGGGTCACTTTATGAATTTTAAGTGTCCGATTTGCTGTAAAACATTTATTGCATATGTCACACCTGTATGATCTTTCTCCAGTGTGAGTCTTTAAATGTGAAACAAAATTTGATTTATGGACAAAAAATTTGTTACAGCCGCCACATTTGTATGGCTTTTCAGCAGAATGGGTCAATTTATGACTTTCAAGTTTCTGTTCTCTTGTAAAACTTTTATTGCATATATCACACTTATATGAGTGAGTATCAACATTCAAGCCATCAGATGTTTTCTGCACAAATTTTTCTTGAGCTAAATCAACAGGCTGCACTACTGGTCCTATGACCAACTCGTCCTTGATTTCATGATCTGCATACAGATCCAACTCTACTTTCTTCTTTTGTTTGTCTTCCACAACACCATCGGACTCTTGTTTGATGTAAAAATTCCTATGTAAATCCATTGGGCTGTTTTCTAATTTGGTTGTCTCCTCCTTAACATTCATAACATCTTGTAGGTCTGTGTATGACATTGTTGGCTGTTGTAGATAATTATAATTCTACTTTTATTTACTCTATTCTATTCTAAATTTAAGTGTCTGTCTTCTCTTGAAGAATTTTGCCAATTCTTGTCAAAGGGAGTTACACTTTTTTTTTCTTTAATGTTTAATTAATTAACACTGCTCTTTTGTCTATTCCGAT